CCTCCTCCTACGTAAAGTATCGTATGTCGAAATTGCCAAGTTTACAGGGGAGCGTTTTAAAGTTCTCCATTTTATTCGGCAAAGCTCATTACTCACATAGAGTGACAATCTAATAGATCATCTAACCGATATCTAGGATATTATAATACTCTATGTGAGTAACGAGCTTTGATGTATAAAACTGAGAAATGCTAGTCACGTGTTATGCTAATATCAGTGAATTCAGAACTTTAAAAGGCTCCCCTGTAAACTTGGAAATTTCGACATACGATACTTTACGTTGGAGATGTCGATATGTAATTCATTTTCGACAAAACGTCCCTTACTTTAATTGATACTTCTGGTATCGTTATGTCTCAGGGTGACGGGCGCAGTGGCAGTGCCCCTAAGGGCGCGATCCTATTGTGTCGTAACGTTTTATTTATCGTTAGACGACTGTCGTGTCTAGCCTGTTCCCATATCACGACTGTCTGTCATGACTGTGTCGTGGACATTTATTTTATCGTTGAACGACAGTATTGTCGGTTCACGGCAGTCGCCTTGTTCTTTGCACGACAGAGTCGTTTGAAGCTGCGATTACCTGTCGTCACTTTTTTATGGTGACGTTGTATTTATCGTGAGACGGCTGTTGTTCTAGCTCTTCCCATTGTCACTACAGTCTGTCGTGGTAACGTCAAAAAAGTCGTGAACGACAGTTAATTATGTTGTTCTATGTGTGAACAACTTCATTTAAAAGTCCAAGACACGTCACTTTAAACTGCACGACTGTCTGTCGTCACGACAATATGAACGCGCCCTACGAACTTTACGATTTATTTTTATGGACAGGCGTGTCGCTGACGATCAGGCGCACGGCTTGTTCGTCCCATCAGTTGGTATCATAAAAAAAAGACCGAAGCAGGGACGGTGAGGGTGGAACTAACTTGTAAAGTTCCTGAATCTAATGAATAATGCCATTTTTCAACTTGTATACGCTATAAGCTTTGTTTATTCCCTCAGGTGCACACTTGCTACGGCGAAGAGCTGGGCTTCGCGTCGGACGACGAGGGTTACAACCGAGATCTGTCTCTACCCGTGGATCTGCCTTTACTTCAGTCAGTGGAGAACTCTGAGGTAAATACCTGACATGGCAACAGCCTGTGATGTGCTTACGTAACCTGTCTGGTGAAAAGAGACTCGTACCCAATTGTGGAACGTCTCATTATTGTTACGGTACAAATCTACCAAATCAAAGCGCCCACATACCTTTTGTGGACGCCTTTATCCGGTCACAATTGCGTCTAAGGATCGACACCGACACGACGTGACGTATATCCAATCGCTAGGTTTCAAATTATTTAACCGCTCACGCGATACATGAAGCCGTAGACGCATACCACACCTAGAGGTGCCGGTGATGATTTTATACCGATTTATAAAATTTTGTATAGATTTATAAATTTTAGCAAAAAAACTAATATTAATTGCTATTTCGGTAACTACTCTAGCAAACCATAAAGTTTTTAATGCCGTGGTCTGTCATTTAAAAAAATAAACAACTTCAAAAATACGTCACGACAATCGTGTATGTTATTGTTTGGGCTGGTGATTTCGGTGTTTATTTATTGAAAACATACCGTAAGTAGCGTTTTTAAGTTTACCCTGAATATAAATGTTTATAAACTATACTTTAAAGAGTAATTTCATGGTAAACGTTAGAACCACTCAAACGGAATATTATGATATTTATCAAAATACACCAAAAATTTCATTAGTGCTTTTTAAGTGCATGATTTGCGGTGTATTACTGCATTTTAATTGAGATGTTTTTGTTGGTAGTACGGAAGGTATTATTTAGCAATGCAGAATAATAATTTTTATTTATAAAAACGTGTATTTAAACGGAATGCTTTTCTAATTTGCGAAACCAAATAGCCGCCATATTGCGGTAGGAGGAGCGCATCGCGTGGATATGCACTACTTCTGCCGTCTATTAACTAAAACGTGGCTAAGTGACACATGGTTAAATAACCGTTTTAAATAACAAAAAATAGAGCACAACTCTCTTTTAAAAATAGTTTAAATTAGTTAACGTGTTCGACTTACCCTAACGATGCATAACTGAAATACCATTAAACAATTTAAATATTCTAAAACTGGGTTATGGTTTTTTATGATATCTCAAAAAAATATTTGTCACTTGAACTTGAACGGCAGATATTTCGGTCTGAAATTCAGGCTGACTTCCAAATGCCAAAAATGTCATAAAATGGCTGCTTAAAGTTATATTAATATCGAACACAGAAAAGTTTCTTCGACCCGGTGGGACTTGAACCCACGGCCATGCTGCACCGTAGCATTGCTCTTACCAACTGAGCCACAGGTCAAGCTACCGAGTTGTCGAAATTCTCCTATGTGTTTTTTTGTTATAGATCTTTGTACTGGCTTTCGGTATTCGTCGCCACTAGTGACATCTAGTGAGAGATTTTAAAAACCTTCCCATTCATAATCATAACGAAACCTGAGGAGTTATTTTACAAAAAAAATCTCAGTAGTACAGAGTCAAGAGCACGTCAAGCTTGACACTGAAGACTTAAATCCAACTCTATGCCGCTTACGATAACAACAGCCCAAAGTACAAAGTGTCAAACTTGATGTGCTCTGGACTACATGGCTGCTTAAAGTTCTAATTTCGTCCTAAAAACGTACAAAAAATGTTTTCGAGTGGCGCATGCCGACATCAGTTACCAAATTCATTGTTATCATAAAGTAAACATACGTCGCGTCAGAATCATCACCTGAGTGTACAGGATGGGATATAATATCGCGACCGCGCAGCAATTCAACTTTGCGTCATACATGAGGTACATTTGTGGGTGTTTAGTAACAACGCCTTTTGCTGGCCATGAAGGAAAATATCACTGATACCGATATAGGTTTTTTTTTAATGGGACAGTGTGGGGAAATTCGAAACCATAGAAGATACAAGGAAACTGTCTTGGGAACCATAAGCCTTTTTTGTGAAAACAATTTTAGCATAGTAAATTTTTTAGTCAAGCCTGAGTTTCCATAAAAATGAATAACATTGATCAAAGTTTTTTTTAGTACTAATCGACTCCGTTTCATGAAGGTGTCATTTCGTTGTATGGAACGCAGAAATCGGGACAGCAGAAGCAATACAACAAAGTAATTCTTATAAGAAACTGACTCTATCAGCATTAAAAAACTTGTGCAGTCCCGATTTTTTTGGGCTCACTCAATGAAATCATCCTTTTAAAAAAAATTGACAATTTCATTCATTTTCTATGAAAAATATTTCATGACATCTGAATAACTTCTTTTGTACCGGTTTTTTCGTCCCATACAATGAAATGATCCTTAGATAAAACTGAGTCGAGCACCTATTTCTATGGACAACTGACGCTTGACCAAAAAAATTGACTATGCCAAAATTGTTTTCCCCAAAAAAAACTTAATGGTTCCTAAGAGAGTTTCCTTGTATTTTCTATGGTTTCGGATGTCGCCATACTGTCCCATTAAAAAAACACTGTATATTGATGAAATTACACCCAAAGCCAAAAACTAACAGACCTTTGTCTTTCAACATACGACACAACTGTAGCATTTTTGAAGGTTACAAAATCGTGACACGTAAAGCACTGCTCTAATTGCATACGTAGTTGATATACATAGATTATTTACGCGATAAACAACAATTGTCTTTTTTTACATGTTTTCGGATATCTTTTAAAGAAAAAGTTCGGGAAAGTTCATTGCGTCAGTGTTGTTTTACAGATTTGCAACTTGGTCCAACCAAAAGTATCGTTTTTTTGTGAGTTAGTGTCACTTGGCCGGAGGATAATAATAATCTCTTGATATTTATTGTTTCTATTTTCAATCGACTGTTGTTTTTATTGTAAAAATAAGCGTGAAAGCTACCCCATCACGATACTTCCAAAATTTCGGATAAATTTTTATTATTCGGATATTTTTTAATTTCGGAATCCAGGATATTAAACTTTGTTTTGTTCAAAGTTTATGCAAAGTTATTTCATTGTTAGCCTTTGTTATATTGGTGTCTATGGTCATTTTAATATGATAGTGAAAAAAGAAAAGTCAACCGTGACCACACGGGACACGTACTTTTACGGGTCCCATGGTCACGTTCGTGGAGATAAATTTCCATTTAGAACGTATTGGCACGCTCATGGTTCGTTTTTTTTTTAAGATAGACAAATTGCTTTATTTGTCTCACACTGTGTCCTAAACACTGACGCAAAAAAAATGTACGGTACTGCGACGCTCATCTCGTAGTGCGAGATTCCCAACCATCATGACACGACACAAGTGATATAAATAAACATGTTCAACAACATTTATTTGCGCAATATTATGAAGGTAGGTTTTTGATGTCATTTTTGAGATACGAACAAACCACACTACTGACTAGTTCTGCCGCCGTTACTTGAAAGAGCGCTTGTGACAAAAACTCAAAATCGAGAAAATAACATAAAAAGAAATTATATCAAAAAATACCTATTTCTCTCTTGCGGTAACTTCATACCCTATCCATCTAGGGAAAAATAAGAACAGTGACAGATCTGCCTTTTTTTACTGATGATGACAGTGTACATAACATTTTTTTCTTTTAATGTCACTTGCGCCTTTTCAACTCGCGGCGTTTTTTATTAACATGTACATACAACGAACAATTAATTTATGTCACCAATACCGTTGTCTACTAAAAACTACAAAGAAATTGAGACCTGACGATACACAACAAAGAATAAAACAAAAAATGTTTTATATTTACTTAAGTAAATATAAATAAATAAATATTTACATATTGCTAATCGCTTTACCACCGAGACCGTGAAACTTGCTATAGACTATTAATTTATTAACATAATCATGGATATCCACATAACCATATAATATCATATTCCATATAAGTTTAGGTAAGTTGCAGCTAGATGGCATTAAACAGTTTTGTATTTTCTTAATCCTGCTATTAGGTTGTTATCAAACTTTTTATTATCATTGCTTTTTAGAGTTTTTTAGAGCTCTGCTAAACGAGTGGACGGAGGAACGGTTACTTCTAAATTAAGATAAGGACAATAGGCGTCTCAGTGGCGGCGTGTACTAACTTTCGTTTCTAAGCTACGTACATTTGCGAATTTTTAGTAGCAATAACTCCTAAACCGCATAGAGCAAGCGTAACCTTCTTTTTAGAGATCCGTCTTCAGTAGTAGGACGGCAAAGAGTTAGAAGGTCCACCTCCTCTGCTTGTAGACGCTGGACGATACTAAGGAAATTCGAACGCTCGTACCTTAATTTCATGCCTGTGATCGATTTTACCTGCTGACATGTTATCTAGCAGTTATTTTTCGGGGGTGGTACGTACCGAGGCAGGTTCAAATAGGTACGCGTCCAATCTCCTACCATTTCTATCTAGTCTATACGTCTTCGATGGCCCACGGGATAGTAGTGTGGCCGCGAAATGAGGAGATACCAACTAGGTTCCATTGCCAGTAGACTATTTTGAGAAACCTTTGTAAAGTTATAGTATGGGTGTATACTTAGTTTTTTTAGCAATAGACAGAAGGAAATTTTGGGCCTTTTATTAGGCGCTATTTCATTCGGTCATTTTGAAAGCTAAGCAATTTATTAAATACTGTGAAACAAAATTCTCAAACATATTTACTATCTTTATGTCATTACGTTTTTACTCATAGTCTTCACTAAAGAGTATATTAGAAATTTATTTCTTTAGTTACTTAATCTATTTTAAAGGCTTCCCTTTAAAAAAAACTTAAAGAAACAGTGGTTCCAAACATTAAACGTAATTTTTTTATGAAACGACAACGTAATAACTTGTCAATTGTAAATGTCATTTGTCATCAATTCCCACGATGTTTTCCTTTACAGTAATTTGTTATCAAAAGAGAAAGGTTTACGATCACCGCTTCTTTCTTTACAATTTTTTTTGCTATATACGATTTCGTTTGCTATTATCACAAATTACAGATTATTAAGACTCCTTTTGACTTATATAGTTTTAATAAGATACCGCTAGATGGCGCTGAGCGATTTTTGATTATTATCTGTAACGCTCTACTAAGATTATATCGGTA